ACGCTCGAGGATTCACGAACCTTCGAGAATATGACGTGTTACTAGCGTCACGTGACCCCCGCTGTCGTAACAATATTTTATTTCTAGTCATTTTCCTAAAATTAATTAAATGTGAATAGATATAATATTCTGTCTTCCAAGGAAATTACACTAATTGACTGGCACAGTGGCTACTCCAGCTAGATGGGAGGACTTCACAACACTCTCCAGTTTCAATAGTTTTCCCACTAAAACACTACAAGCATAAATAAATGGTTGGAAAAGGTTCATGTTATTGAGAGAGCTTTGCAAATAAGGGAAAATACGAAAATGTATGTTGATGCTGTTAAGAACAAAAAACGTCGAACCTGAGCACAAAGTATTTTGAAACTGTGAAACTTTCAATACAGGATCCATTGATGAAATGTAAGATACACTTCTTTCTATCAGTTATAAAATAGGTGACTCTATATCTTACAAAATATCAAGTTCATCAACCAAAGGAACAGGTCTAAAACTTATATTAAAGAGTCTCATTGAGTGTATTGGAAAAAAAAAGAATGCACACAGACAACGACAGTGGTACTTATGAATCTTGATTTAGATGACAAGACATTATTGAAAGACTACAGCAAAGTGGATGTTAGTTTTACTTCTGAGAATTTATCGATAGTCATTAGAATGAAGAAAAAAGATTAGTGACACAAATGTTATACAGTTTCAAATGGAGGACAGGAATATGTTGGTTAAGGCAACATCCAAACTACAAGATCCTTGATTCTCGATTCATGTCAAGCAAACCAAATGATGCTGTTAGTTATTTTAGGAACTTATCCTTTGATGAAGTTGGCTATGAGTATATTCTCATAATCTACTGAAACCATTCCAAGGTATGTCTTCCCATCCAGAGAGCACATATTGTCCACGTTAGTGGCCAAGCTCTCAGCAGAACCCCTCTTTTGAGCCTGGAACTCAGCCTGTTGAATAGTTTGATTTTTCCACTAGCTCAAAACATTGACACAAATTGGCTACCACTGTATCCTAGTCTCATTGTTACTTTTTCTCAAGTGCGCAATGTCAATAGAATCAAGGACTAGACAATACAAACTGGAGGTCAAGCATTGTACAGATTATTCAAAGTCAAATCATTAGAAGCAGTGACAGTTCAGATCCCCTTTAGCTGCACTCTTAAATTTCACACTAAACCTAACTTGTATGCTATGAAATAAATGAACTAGATACAAACATACAAGACACAATGAAAAATCTATTCACATCAACAAACATTGCCATTGTGTATATAGCACCTTTGGATAATGAACAGTTTTGCTGGATAGGCATATTGATCACAGTGGCTATACTCCTTCAAGACAATTCCAAGCTGACCAAGTCAAAATGATGTTCCTGAAAAGCTAAACACTGTGTTACTTATTCGACTCAATAACATGAGATGCACCTAGTATGACTATTGCTAACCACGTGACTGGTCATTCTCATTCAAACATAATATAGGTTGTAACGTCGAGAAATAATCTAACCAACAGTTGAAGGACACTGCTGTCGACCTTCATGCATAAGTTGCAGGTATACAGCCATAACCGTAAATGAGGACCTGGTATTATTTCTAAGGGATGGCAAAGAACAAAGGTAATTAGAATGAAATCAACTTAACTCTTTCCATTCAGGGTCAGTCGATGTAATCGACCTTGTAAAAACAAAGTTTGCATATTATAACTTTTCATTATATTATGTGTATCTTCACTAAATCTGGCAATCTTTCAGAAAGCATTACAAGTATTTTGTACTCAGAACATCAGATTATCTAAATAATTATTTTTGCTAATAATATGGAGTCAGGGTGTTAACTACTCAGGTTGAAGAGTGATTTTGATGTCAAGATTTAAAATACTGATTTTCACCTGAAAATATTCAAATTTAATTTGCATAACTTCTAAACTTCCTAAACAAATATCAAATATTTTTCAGCAAAACTTTATATTTTATCTGTTATTTTCTCTACGCCAACTCTCTACAGACTCAATCCACTTGACTAACTTTGTAAACACCATAGAAAAAACGAAATATATCTAAATTTCATGTTTTCTTTCAAGAATGACTGCAGGTTTTTACAGGAAACTACAATTGTTTATCCAAAACAGCTTAAGGATCGTAACAGTCTACACCTGTTTCTACTTAATTTTATTGTTTCATTGCTCTTTGAACCATGGTAATTAATAATTCCGCCGCAAAAGTTGTAAATCACTCTGTGAATGCGTAGCTTACGTTACCGTACTGAATTGAATAACACACGATTTGCTCGCGAGCATACCCTGTGAAGAATTTTATAATTTTTTTCATCTTACCTCATCTAGCCGAAAGAATTTCTAAGTTTTAGGTACTTATTGCTTTTATGACAATGAATAAAAATATACATGTACAAAACGAGAACTGTAGTATTTACCTTTGATCTCTTGTTTTGTTTATGCTGTTAATTGCAGTGTAAAAGCCAGTGTAAGAAGAATATTACCAATAAGTCAGCTTTGGGAAACCAGTAGTGGTTGGTGCTGAGGGACACCCACCAACCCCATCGTGAAAGTCCCAACAGCTAGGTGTAAAATGCCAAGCACACACAGTGTCTATGTGACGAGGAAAGCTGGATGGCCAAAGGTGCAACTTTCTCATAGATTCGGCACCTCAGCAAACCCTTGTGAGTATCAAGGTGCTGAATCACAAAGGAGTACCAGAAGCTGTACATAAGCTCTGTGGCGTGATGGGACATTATGCAAGGGTGTGGGGACCAGTGTGGGTAATCATTGAGCTCATGGGCATGAAGAACAGAC